TTAAGTAACAATGCGCTAAAGAACTAGGGAACTCTCTATTGTTCTGCGGCATAGCAAGTTCCCCATGTACGAATGTCTTGGTTTTCACACTGATTATGTATCCATCTGTGGGTAACACATTTTTGAAATAAAATGTGGATAAACTCTATTTTGAAACAAAGTTTCTTTTGTATTAAAAGCTCTTATCCAATCATAAGCACTCAAAACAATAGCCAAAAGATGCTTCTAATTTGCTATGTTCCCCACCATGTAGAATTGCCTTAATATTAAAGCTAAAGAAAGCTTTCATGAAAGCGAAAACAGACATTAAATAAAATATTAGAAAATTCGCTAACTTGTGAAATTATAGCAGATTTTCATGTTTTAACCAATRGGATGGATGGATTATACAATGCGCAATTAGCACCTTCTTGCATTCCTGTGCCGTTTGCTTCCCTAGTTCTTACTCGGTGCATTACTTAAAAAGAAAGGTTGAATACTATTTGCTGTCGATGCTGTTCTCAGTACTAGCACCATTATTATTGTGTGAACCAACCATAAGCTTCTCTTTTGCTCTGACATTTTTGCTGCAAACACACTGGTTTTCTTGCCTCATTCACAAAAGGAGATTCAACTAAGTGTTGAGCAAAGAGAGATAACAGGCCTCTTTTCTTGAAAACCACATCCTATACACAAAGTACATACAGAGGTCATCTCAATTCCTTGACAAAATGAAAAGCTTGAAGTATTTCTTTTTAATCTATATAGAGTGGGAAGTCACATACTTCGAAATAGGTTAGTTTACATCCATCAAGATGCCATTACAACTTGGCTTGCAAAATTTTGATTAAGCTCATTAATCAAGTTTTTTTTTTTTTTCTCAAAGACTTCATAGGGAAAACGACAAAGAACTCAAGTCCAGCACAGGTTGGAAAATGATTTTWAAACAATATACACAATAAGCACTATTATTATACTTACATTGTCTGTAATATCACCAAATATTGAATTATTCAAGCAGAGTGATAGATGAGAATGACATCTGAAAAGTGAAATATTGTAAACAAKGTTAAATTCTAGAAAGTTTTATATAGAATTGTGCCTAAAGTTTATACTATCCAATTCAAGAAAAAAGTTCACATTGTGAAAATAGTGTAMGTGGACCATTGTATGTTTACTTTTTCATTCTACATGGCAGGAGACTTTACAAATGGATCACCTAAAGACAATACCAGCAAACCACCAGAATCCATTCATCAAGTAGCAAAGCCAAGGGCAAGACACATCCAACCTGACTACAGTGGTACAGGCTACGGCTATCTTGTTCAATGTGACAAATGCTCCAAATGGAGAAGATTGTCTGATGGAGTGAGTCCTGCTACTCTGCCTGATAAATGGTTAGTTTACTAGTTCTAGTTTGCATTTTGATCTACCAAAGAAACATTTATGGCCAATTATTTTACAAAACAAGTCATTATTTCACATGGAAAAGAAAACAAAAACACAAGCATGTTCATAAATTCATATTTATCATGGCTTTCACCTAAGTTTCTTCACTTTTTAAAATGCCCTTCTAAAAGAGTTAGTCATTCCCTTATTATAGACGTTTTCTAATTTATTTCTATCACTTTTYTCAAGGTTCTGCTGGCTCAGCACCGATCCAAACATTTACGATTGCTCAACAAAAGAGGAGATTCCAGTCAWTATGAACTAAGAACCYATAGGGCAATGCAGACACAACTCTCTACCAAAACAACTATGCAGAATTGATGTAAAAAAAAAAAACAAACAAGCAAAATAATTAATTATTGATTTTTAATATCAAGATGTTCTCAGATAATTTATTGGAATGATTTTATGTCAAACACCTACAAGGAAGCATTTTCACTAAATATTTTTGTAATAAATCAAATGTTTATAAAATAGTTTTGAAATAAAGTATTCCTTTCTGCAAAAATGTGTACAGAGTTTATACCTGGTTATAGCACACAGTTTAAAACAAGATATTTTCAGTGTAATAATTATAAGTCTACAAGAGCTATTACTAAAAAAACTCCTATTCTTTTTGCTGTAGTATTTATAAATTTCACTTGTAATATATCTTAAAATATCAGTAAAAATGAGAGAATGATTAAATATTGAGCGCAATCACTTTAAAAAGATACAAAAAGAGTGCAGCGTGAGTTAAAACTCATCATTTGCAATGTTATAAAATTGTATAGTATACACCTACAAACTCCTTAAACTGTCTTCCTGAAATTGTTCATTTGAGTTCAAACTATAAGCTCTATGAAATCGCATACATTTAGCACAMAGAAGTACTAATGTTATATACAGTGTTACACATGAATGTCATACTATATTTTGGCCTTCTTGTTTCTTGACATGCCACTTCTCTTTGTTTGTGAGTTAGTTTCCTCAGTGAATGAAGCACTGTYACYAACAGTTGAAAACTTGCGCTTGTTCCTTGTCTTGGATGACAAYCTCTCAGCTTCCTTAGCAGCTGCAATGCTTAGTTTACTTAAGAGATTGTCAAGCTTTCCAGGCTTAGGCATCTGACTATTGGCCATCTTAGAAAGGATTAGACTGGAACGGTTGTCTGATTTACTTCCAATACTTATGTGAAGGTTAAAGAGGGATGCAAGTTTTCTAGCATCGGCACGTTCTCTGGCTGCCATCAATGGTAGTTCCAGCTGCTTGGAATCTGAATTACTGACAAATGAAGATATCATTGAGCTTATGTCAATCAAAAAGGTCATGTCACCTAGCACTTCTTCAGGTTCGTCTGGAACCACACCAGGGCTTGTCTTCAGCAYGGAAGCATTTTCTTGCTTTTCAGTTTCCTTGTCAATGGGGGTTGGCTTGAKAGGAGAGCTAGATAGTCCACTCCTTGGAGATTCAGGAACAATTTCAATATCAATTGCTTCTGTGGTTTTGTTTTTTRTTGTTTTCTGCTTGACAGGATCTTTCTTTGTTGCTTTCTTTGCCTTTGGTTCTTTCTTTTTATTCTTGTTTKTAGAGGTGGCTTGCTCTGGGTCTTCCTTCTTTTTAGAGTTACACTTAAAGACCTCTTCTTCTATGTCTTCTTCATTAGCCTCAGATTCAAAGCTCTCTTTCATTTCTAAAAGACCAGATTCTGGGTTCAAGAATACATCAGAGCTTGTGCTGTCATTTGCATCAAATTCAGCATCTTTTGGCTCTTCAAACATCTCAACTTCATCATCAACAATCTTTGAGTTTGAGTGTTTCTTAGCTTTACTCTCTGTTGACTTGCGTCCTTTGGCTTTCTCAGTGGCCTTAGTCTCTTTAGCTTTCGTTTCTGCTGACTTAGTCTCTTTAGCTTTCTTTTCTGTTGCTTTGGTCTCTTTGTTTTTGTTGTTGCTTTGAGGTTTTGATGAGGTAGTAGTGCTTTTCTTTGCTGATGTCTTTTTAGATTTACTGGAATCATGTGGCTTTCTGTTAGAAGTTTGTCTGCTGGTAGTTTTTTGCTTACATTCTTTGTTGATGTCAAAGACTGACACTTCTAAAGACAAATCATCATCTGAATCTGCAATCTTGAGCTCCTCATCAATAACATGAGCTTTTGACTGTAYAACTTGCTCACTACTGGTTCTKGGTGCACCTGGTTCAGGAGTAGTTTTCTCACAGTCTGTAGGATTGGGTAGCTTGGATATAGGTGACWTCACTTTAAGGTCAGTACTTGGTGTCTTACCAATGGTTGTATTTTCTTGGGAACTGTGAGCATCCTCTCTAGTGTTTTCAGTTGTTGAGGGTTTTAGTGGTAACCTAAACAATAAGCAAAYGCAATAAGTTAACTTGAAAGAAAGAAAGATACAGTGTCATCACAGTGTCTCCAGAGATTTCTAGTTATGATATGCAGGGAAATTTCTCAATATGCAGAGGAACAGGGTAGCCATGTTTTGAAAAACATTTGTCTTCCTTCGTTGTTGTAGTATTAAAGCTTATTTGGTTCTCTAGAGAAATACATTTCCTTATAGTACCTTTCATTATTATGCACTTTAGTCGTTTTTATATCTTTATTGGTGTTTGGGTTCTCCTTCTTGTCTTCAAGATATGAGATTCTTTCTTTTAGAAATGAAATATCTTCGTCGTATGTTTGTTTTTGTTTTTTAAGCTCCTTTTCGAGTCTTGCAGTCTCTGTAAAAGAAAGTAGCATTGAGTCAATTTTTCCTAAATACGTCTCATTTTTTTATAATATCAACACGTCTTAAGCAGCAAAGTGCAGTTATATTATGCAATTTAGCTTAATTGAAATCAATTCAGACTAGATCGAAGCGCGCGTAAATTTCAATCTTCTGTCGATTGACAATATAAGGCAAATTCTGAACGGAAAAATGCCTTAAACAGCTGAAGAAAGACAAAAGGAAAGTGCTGCCGTATTGTCGGCTCGTTTTTTTACCTTCACAAACAGCCAATCTGCAGAATTTGAACATACACTTACCATTGAAAGCCAGTCGAAGCAACCTTTGCATCTCCTCACAAACGGTAATAATTCCGCCAGTTTGGCACTCTACTGAGCCTTTCAAACGACAAATTGACACTGCTGAAGCAAGGAGCTTCTCTGAATGTYTAAACAAGTCTTGAAAACCATTTTCGTTGCTTCTTACTGGAGTAGAGAGTGGAGTTCGCCACATAGCTGTTCTATCCTCATTTGCCGCCATTTTTTTGTAATTTTATACCAGACGTCTTTGCGCGCCAAAAATGTATAGAGAAGCGCGGAGGGCATCACGGGAGTTATTATYTTGTATGTAGCGCGATGTAGCGCAACAAGTAAGGTACAGTAGAGCGGATTTCGTATRACTGTGCAAAAAAACACGGTACGTTCGTGCTGTATCCGTACCGTGCCGTAGCCGTGATGCATTGAAAATCTTTACTTTCATTGGAAATCCTAGAAGGCGAGGTTCCGTGACCGTGCCGTGCCGTGTCCGTGTTGTGATCCGTGCGACCTTCGATCGCATCCGTTTCCGGTGTCAAAACGCGAAGCGTATTTTAATAAATATTAAAAAATCTCCTCCCGCCCGTTTTTCTAGAGCCACTTTGCGTTTTGACACCAGAAACGGATGCGATCGAAGGTCGAAGGGGACTGCCAAGAAGTGCTCCATGATCGTCACGTCGCATTTAGTTTTTACTTCGTTTCGTTTGTTGGATTTTATTCTTATTTTCTTTCATAATAATCAAATATTTTAAATATGTTTAATTGATCAAGGGGAATTTTTATCTGTTGCGATGATGAAGTGTTGATGTCCGACGTCCACTTTTCCAGTGTCCACTTGTCCACTTCTCCATTCTTCCGTCTCAGGACATGCAACACCCTCAGTACGCCCTCCGACTCGCAAGTTAATGACGTTCGGCAGAGACTATAGTAATATTGCGCAGTCTTGTGAGTGAATAAAGATGACATCTACGTTTTTCACGAGCTTTACTGGATATGGGAAAACAGGAGTTCGAGTCCTGAAAATCAAACGCTGCAATGAGAGATATCACAGTATAAAAGAGATCGAAGTTTCCATAGAGTTGAAACTCGAGGACAAGAATGACTATCTTCACGGGGACAACGCTTCTGTGATCCCTACAGATACACAGAAAAATACCATTTATGCATTGGCGAAAAATAACGAGGTATTGTTATCGTATTTGTGCTTTGCATATTCTCGGATATAATCGTTTTTTCGCAAATCGATCGAGAGGTAATTCTTAGCTTTCTTCGTATACCACGGTCGTGTCGTATGAACGTTGAACGTTGCCATTTAGTGCTGGAAGTAGATGTAGATGAACTGTAGATGTTTATTTGCTTTTCACCTCAAAACTTTGTTTTGAAGTCCAGCATGATAGAAATACAACTGCTTGGAGCTAAAATTTAATGCATAACTCCTGAAAAATCATGGAAATGTTTTTTATAGAGTATTATGTAACGCATTAGCTTTTTCATAGAACTATGGGTTTTTCTAACAAACGGCAAGAGTGTCACCTCCACGAGGAGTCAAAATAATTTTCCAAAGTCACGCGGGAATGTAAATCTAGTCTTATTTAAAGATGATTTACAGTATCTATGTGTAGAAATACTCCTGGAATCCCAGACATATAGTTTTCCGTGACCATATCTGCTGTCCGAGAGTCTGTTCTGTCACGTCCACTTCGCGGAGCGNAGCTTAATTCAATTGAAGAATTTGGTGTTACTGTATGCCAGCATTTCCTTCATAACCACAAACATGTAAGTGCCAAAATTTATTAATTTATTCAATTTATTCAGGTATGAMATGATGGATATTTTGATTTTTTAGGTAGAAAGTGTCTGTGTTGACATTGAGGAAGCACCATGGAAGCGAATAAACCAGGTAAATGATATTCCAGATTTCCTAATGTATTCATGAATATTAGTATTTTTTTAATAATATATCTAATCGCTGTACAACAGGGTGGCCAAGAGCATGCTCACTCATTTGTCATGGATTCGGAAGTCATACGTTTCTGTCAAGTCACTCACATAAGAGGAGGTACAAAGTCAGTCCTTGCAATTTTTTAAAGGCCTGTGCTGTAGGTTTTTGTTGGACGATAGTGATGACAACAATATTTACCCTTTATACAACCAGTATGTAAGTATTGAAAAATGTCATTGATCATTTTGCCAACACAGAAAAGCCCAAAGTCTCTGGTGGCTTAAAAGGTCTGAAAGTGCTCAAGACGACGCAATCAGGATTTAAAGGTGACTAATCCAACTATTAGAGCTAAAAATAATACGAGACACAGCAAAAAATATGGATATCGATCACACAATGGTCTTCATGCTTAGTGCAAATGTTTTATAGGTTTTCTCAAAGACCAGTATACTGTTCTTCCCGAGGTTGACGACCGTTGCTTTTGTACTGTGGTGACCTGTAAATATGATTATGACAACACTGATGTGGACTTCAACACAGTGTGGTAATTATTTTGTTTAACTGTAATAATTTTGAGGATGTTATGTGTTGATTTATGCTGTTAACTTAACTTCCTTTTATTGTTATTTTATTAATAAAGGCAAATTGTCAAATCCTCAATCCTCCAGGAATTTGCTGGTCCAGCTCATTCTGGTGTTTACTCAGCCAGTGTCCAGGTATTATAAGTGTTAGAAACCGTTTTCCAGTTTTTTTTATCCAAACATCTGGTATTTTAAAGTGGTTCATGCTGTTCTTTCTAGAACACTATCTACTTAACTGAAGTCTCCATCTTGAATCAAGTTCCCCAGGTAGAGCTCAATAATTGTTTCTTGTTAACAGGAAATACTTCAGCTATTACTGTATAAGTTTATATTTTTGGTGTTCCAGATTGGTTATGTAGAAATGGTAATGCCTAATGCACACTATTTCAACTTTAACTTGGCTCCTTTTGGAATTGAAAACAACAATGAAGTAAGAATATGTTACTCTACCAAAATCCAACTAAATCTACTCAAATCCAATTAGCTTAACTTAGCTTGAAACTTCATGACAAACCATGAAGTCACTGTAGTGTAGATCTAGGAAGAAACAGAAGAAACTGAACCATTGCATTAGTAAAAGCGGCAATTAAGGGCAGCCATATATAGCTGAAACAGTAGCAGGAGAGTATGCAGTAGTAATTGCAGTATAAGCAGCACAGACGAAGCAGTACTATTATGCATGACATATATATGGGCATTACATCTTTCTCACTTACATAGCTGTGCCTCATCTCCTTTGCAGCCTACATTTTTTTTCCAAAAGGGAAGACTGAGAAGGAGTCCATATATTTTATTGCGGTTTTTATTTCACTCAACATTTCTACAGTTTTATACAGTGTTTTGCATCTCTTTAATACATAGTTTATTTTAGGTACTGATGCCTATGGACAAACCATCTGGAAACATTAAAGCAGGATTGTCAAGGAGACAAAAGTCAAAATTGTGAATTATTGATCMGTAAAAAATCCAAAAATGAAGTACAGACACCTTAAATTTTTGAGGGTGCAGTTATTCATACACTGTTGTTTTTAATCAAAACATATATTTCTAATAATTGCTTGAAGTGAACCAGGTAGCTTTTCAGGATCAAACTGTTCTGTACTTAGGTGTGATATTAAATTGCATTATTTGTAGCAATGAAATGTGTGCTGACTAAGCGTATAAAATGTTATGCCATCTTCATTTCTCACTGTGTTTCTCGCGAGAATTATATTTTCTCTTCTGTATGACTTTGTAATTGATCATATTATTTCTGCTTTCATCATCATCATAACTCTTCGCGCCAATAGRCGCATAAGGCCTTCACCCCCTCTTTCCATCCATCTCTATCCCTTGCTGCCATTTTGGCTTCATTCCAAGTCYTCCATCCTGCGTTGTCCCTTTCTTTCAGTACCGTTTTTCTCCAAGTAGTTTTTGGTCTTCCCCCACCCCCACCCCCAATGAAAATCCGGTTCAAGTGAAGTTAGAGGCCACTGGACTAATACCAAGTATGTATAACACGAATTCAAATGCCAAGTACGACGGCATTAATGCGAGATGCACGTTTTCAGAGTTGACTTAAATGCCAGGTAATATATACGATGCCAGGTAATATATACGATGCCAGGTAATATATACGATGCCAGATAATATATACGATGCCGGATAACGTTATATGTTACGACGCCAGTGTACCGGTCGTGGTGGTTTGCCATGCGACTTTATATGTGCAGTCGCCGCGCCCACTTTGCCATACTTTACTTTTACATATACCCGAGCTCCATAACCACGCTGACATATACCTCTATCGGTAAGGTCGAATTTGGGCACATCTGGCATCGTATATATTATCTGGCATTTAAGTCAATACTCTGAAAACGTACCCCTGGCTTTGATGCCATCGTACTTGGCATTTGAATTCGTGTTATATATAYTTAATATTAGGCCAGTGGCCTCTAACTTCACTTCTGGATACGCCCATGGGTGATAGTAGGTAGCTGATTAGGGTAGCTATAGCCACACATTTCCCGCAGCCGTAGCTCTTTTCTTTTAGAATTTTACATGTAGGTTGTAGTTATTACTATTATATCTGAATGTGCTATACCTCAACCAACATTGTCTTTATCATTCGCTTCAATGTCATTACCAATTAAGGCATTGCTGTCTTTCAGAACGTCTTTATTTAATGTAGAGTTATCATGYAAAACGTCTGTCGTGTTTAGTTCCAATGTTTCGTTAATTTTGTTCTCATTTTTATCGTGTAGTCTCTCAATCACGTGATCTSCGTCTGTTGAGCCWGAAACTCCTTGCCCCTCACATGAGCTTGCATCTCTTGTATCATTTTCTGATTCATTTTCTGTGTTTGAAATGTTTTCGTTTGGAGGTTCGTCTTGTGAAGGGTTTTCTTCRCTATTCKTTTGGGGCTYCTSTGTGTTTGCGCAATTTTCTCTATTTTCCATAATACTTTCGGATTCGTTTTTATCAGAGTTCTTTCTTTCCTCGCCGCAATCTTCGGTTGCATTTGCGTGGAGCTCGGGTGTAATTGTGTCATGTTCATTTGCATTCATTTGGTGTTCGTGCGTAATCGTGTCCTCTTTTTCATTCKTGTCATCCTCGGACTCATTCGTTTGATGCTCGTTTTTATGCGTGAAGTATTCGGATTCATGATTACTTGATTGATATTTGGTCGTGAGATGTTCGGAAGTAGTGCTTTTGTTTTTGATGTTCCCCTCGCTGGACGAATCAACCGTGCTGACAGGATGTTTCTCTTCTGTTTCTTCTTGTCCTAAAAACCAAAAATAATAGATCATTAACTAATNGATAATATATACGATGCCGGATAACGTTATATGTTACGACGCCAGTGTACCGGTCGTGGTGGTTTGCCATGCGACTTTATATGTGCAGTCGCCGCGCCCACTTTGCCATACTTTACTTTTACATATACCCGAGCTCCATAACCACGCTGACATATACCTCTATCGGTAAGGTCGAATTTGGGCACATCTGGCATCGTATATATTATCTGGCATTTAAGTCAATACTCTGAAAACGTACCCCTGGCTTTGATGCCATCGTACTTGGCATTTGAATTCGTGTTATATATATTTAATATTAGGCCAGTGGCCTCTAACTTCACTTCTGGATACGCCCATGGGTGATAGTAGGTAGCTGATTAGGGTAGCTATAGCCACACATTTCCCGCAGCCGTAGCTCTTTYCTTTTAGAATTTTACATGTAGGTTGTAGTTATTACTATTATATCTGAATGTGCTATACCTCAACCAACATTGTCTTTATCATTCGCTTCAATGTCATTACCAATTAAGGCATTGCTGTCTTTCAGAACGTCTTTATTTAATGTAGAGTTATCATGYAAAACGTCTGTCGTGTTTAGTTCCAATGTTTCGTTAATTTTGTTCTCATTTTTATCGTGTAGTCTCTCAATCACGTGATCTSCGTCTGTTGAGCCWGAAACTCCTTGCCCCTCACATGAGCTTGCATCTCTTGTATCATTTTCTGATTCATTTTCTGTGTTTGAAATGTTTTCGTTTGGAGGTTCGTCTTGTGAAGGGTTTTCTTCRCTATTCKTTTGGGGCTYCTSTGTGTTTGCGCAATTTTCTCTATTTTCCATAATACTTTCGGATTCGTTTTTATCAGAGTTCTTTCTTTCCTCGCCGCAATCTTCGGTTGCATTTGCGTGGAGCTCGGGTGTAATTGTGTCATGTTCATTTGCATTCATTTGGTGTTCGTGCGTAATCGTGTCCTCTTTTTCATTCKTGTCATCCTCGGACTCATTCGTTTGATGCTCGTTTTTATGCGTGAAGTATTCGGATTCATGATTACTTGATTGATATTTGGTCGTGAGATGTTCGGAAGTAGTGCTTTTGTTTTTGATGTTCCCCTCGCTGGACGAATCAACCGTGCTGACAGGATGTTTCTCTTCTGTTTCTTCTTGTCCTAAAAACCAAAAATAATAGATCATTAACTAATATWAACTGTAATAAAATTTGCTGGCTCTGAAGCGCGTCGAATGATTGGTCCGAGAACTTATACATCAACGCACGATCTGGGACTTTTATCATCATCATTATCAAAAGTTATCATTGTCATCAACACCTTCAGTGGCAGCAAAGCCATTCGCAATCGCCTTTTATCACATGATCACTTTTACCTTCCTCAATCTCTTCCAAGTCACCCAATACTCGTAAAATATACGATGGTCGTCTTTCGTCCACACTGTTCCTTTTTAACATCAACGCTTTCTCTACCTCAGCCTCTGCTCGAAGATAAGTRTCTTGTTCCAGGTCCCTTGCGATGCGTTGTCGACGGTAAGCAGCGACCGTGCGTTGCTGGGACTCCATGGTAACATGGGAGTCTCGACGGGAGGACTTGGATTGCTCTGATAAAAAAATTCACAGCAATTATAATGAAGAACAATCTATAGAAATTGATGTGGTGATGATGATGATGATGATGATTTTGGTTTGTAAGAAGAGGTCCGTCTGTCTTTCTGTCTSCAATAACTCTTTCACATATTCGCCTATGACTCGTGTAGCTCGCGAAAAAGGCTGTTCCATTTAACTTTTGAAATTCGATGAACAAAGCTGATTAGATCATGTAATCTTTCTTGTATTGTGTCATCCAATTTACTAAAAAAGCTTATTACAACCACTAAAATAATATAAAAAATAAATTGCTTGACGCAGTTAACTTCTCAAATTGTTTTYGCAACAAGAGTAGATTTCCARCAAACTCTCTTCCAAGTTACAGTCGACTAGTCTAGTTTATCTAACAAATGACGTATCTATTTTCATTGCTATGAAACCGTAGCAAACATTTGATAAACACTGYAGGATCTAAGCAGGCTTATCAGGATTAAYAACCCTCGACATGCACTGACTCAAGTTATTACAGTAATTGATTGGTGTTAATTAATTGTTACTTATATTAAAAAACTTAAACAGTTTTTGGCCTAATTTGGACGTAAGATTATATATATCACGAATACAACAATTCTGAGATCAGTTCCTTTAACTGGGTAGAGTTACATCATGTTAATTTACTTTTCGCTGAGTTTTGTTAGTTGCCTTTATATCACGATAGAGCGTTTTCTTGATATAAAAAACTCTAAGATCACCAGTTGAAATTGCTTCTCTTTTTTTCTAAAATGTTTTCAAAGTTATCAAAACAATCATCGAATTACTGAGCAAGCACGTCGCCTAGASGAACAAACTTTGGAAAGGTTYTRCAACTTTGATCAGAAAACGAACATTACTTCATGAGTCATTGCATTCTTGAAACTAGTTAGTGCTGGTTTCAACAACCCATATCTCATGACGCTTCGGGAAATAACAGTTTAGTCACGATTTGGGAGCATACTGTGCGCGTGTAGTCTGGACATTTGTTCATCAATTAAATATGATCAATAACATCAGAAATGATTACGTTCACTTACGGGGTTTTATTCGACTGGTGCCACAGCCCATGAACTTTCCGTACCCTGGTTCAGTGGTCGTTTCTTGAYTGGAAAGTGTGAAGTTGTTCGCGCTTGTCTTCTCTCTTGTTGCATGCGTGGTGTTTATACTGTCTTCTGAGGAATGCTAAAGTCTAACACTCTTTGAGAGTTTATTTATTAAGCTTACAAAGCGTTTACGAACAGCTTTGTTGACAATAGATGTGATGTATTATTCATCGGTACTTGTCTCACGACACGTCCATTTTGATTCCGTCACGGATTAACAAACCCACAAGCAAAATGACGTCATAGCGTTGCTACACGAGCAACTTCCGACAACTGTTCCAATGTTCACTATTTATACTCTTACCATATCAACCCTTATTGATTCACGGACATCTGTGTTCATCCACTACTAACTCTGGCTCAACGTTCTGGTGATAATTAAGACCAAGCAGCTTTTACGCCAGAATACACATGTTAATTGCGTTAAAACTTCCTCTAAATTTAGTTTTTCAGTATAATAAGTTTTTCAGTTTTCACTATTTGAACAATTTAATTTATTTGCTTGTTAATTACTAATAGTCTATTCACTTGTTTTTTATGCCTTGTTGTCGTAGAATAGTTGAATCAATGCACAACAATCATGCTCGTACATAACAAGACATACTGGATCACCAATCGTACATAACAAGACATATTGCGTCGCCATGCGCGTTAAGTAAGATTTCGATAATTACTTTTATAACTCCTTTAACATACCAGTGGTAATAAAACAAAACATTTGACTCAAATCCCTTTTTGTTTCTCTCGAATGAATCATGGATAAGGCATCCATAACAAAGTCGATGAGGCCGTAATTTCACCACTACGCATGTTCCGAGTGATTTCTTCCCAGTCCATCCCACATGGCTCAATGCCTCATCTTCTAACATGAGAATATGATCATTTATCAAGGTATGTATGATATTATGGTGTAAACACAAATTGTCAAATCATCCTTTCACCACCCCTGTCAGTACACGTATTTTCTGACACAGGAAGTTGATCGGTTCCAAGTGTTTGAAGACTTTAAAGTCACGTTCAGTCAAGMTTTGAAAGAAATTGCACGAAACCTTAAAAGAAAACCTCTGACCAATTAATAGTGTATACTCATAGGCTTTACATTGGTCAATCCCAGAATGCACTGGTGCAGTGCCTCAAACGCAAATACGCGCGTGGTTGGGTTTAAAATTTACAAATTTTAGTATGCTAAGGATTAAAAAAAAAATATTTTTGAAGCAGTGGTAATAAAAACAGTCGTGATTGTCACTGTCTTCGTTATCCCATCGTCTTGATGTAGTTGAGTCCTGTGTTCACCGTTAAAGTCATCAAAATGATAACTAGAGAGTTCTCCATGTAATTACATACAGGAAATGTCAGAAAGACTGTGCCTAAAAGCCCACATCAACAAGTTCTGTAAGAAATCTTGTAAATTGGATTTGTATATCGACATCCAAGGCGTAAACATGATCGCTATTTACGCCTACTSCTACACCGGATACACACTGTGGACTCCCTGTGTATATAWAACGGGCGATTATCCTCTCGCCCCAATCCCCTCTTGCCTCACTCAATCAATTGCCTCAGATTTTGCGAAGTGAGCCTTTGCATGCAGAAATTTGGAGTTTTTGAAACGCAATGCAGTGATGCAACTCTAGTTAGGAGGTTAGGATGTGTAAGTGACAAGATTTTACTGCTGACTTTTTAAGTCAAAAAACATACACAAACAAAATATTTATGATTGATATTTATGATTTTTTTCWAGATGGACAACATTATAAAAAACTCGATCTAAATGCAAAAGACCTGACTCTTTCCAGCACTTGTTGCTGGTTGCATGACGCAATGCCATCTGCCCAACGATGCAATAAACGCTGTTGACTTTGGTAGACGTGCACTCAGGCTGTGATGATGGTAAGTGATGACATTAAACCTCAACATGGCAATAGCCTCACCATCTGCACCGTAATACTCGTGAGAAGAGTTTGTCTGTTCACCACGGGAACCGTCTCTCCAATCCTGGGAAAATACTTTGACCAAATGGTTGTCATGCCTTGCGAAACGTCTTCCATTTATGAAGATTTGTACTTCAGCCAACGACTTGGACTGGTTCCGTTTTGCATTTCTCAGCTCGTCAGAGTTGAATATTAGTGCGCGTGTTTAGCATTCCTGAGACTTCGCTCGTGGGAATTTCAACAGCAACCTGGCAAAACACAAGGAGGACTTTGAACTGGTTTTGGTGTGGTAGGAATACAGCTAATGATGGCCCTTTATTTTTCATAAACCCATTTTCAATAAATGNAGTCATCAAAATGATAACTAGAGAGTTCTCCATGTAATTACATACAGGAAATGTCAGAAAGACTGTGCCTAAAAGCCCACATCAACAAGTTCTGTAAGAAATCTTGTAAATTGGATTTGTATATCGACATCCAAGGCGTAAACATGATCGCTATTTACGCCTACTGCTACACCGGATACACACTGTGGACTCCCTGTGTATATAAAACGGGCGATTATCCTCTCGCCCCAATCCCCTCTTGCCTCACTCAATCAATTGCCCCAGATTTTGCGAAGTGAGCCTTTGCATGTAGAAATTTGGAGTTTTTAAAACGCTATGCAGTAATGCAACTCTAGTTAGGAGGTTAGGATGTGTAAGTGACAAGATTTTACTGCTGACTTTTTAAGTCAAAAAACATACACAAACAAAATATTTATGATTGATATTTATGATTTTTTTCAAGATGGACAACATTATAAAAAACTCGATCTAAATGCAAAAGACCTGACTCTTTCCAGCACTTGTTGCTGGTTGCATGACGCAATGCCATCTGCCCAACGATGCAATAAACGCTGTTGACTTTGCTAGACGTGCACTCAGGCTGTGATGATGGTAAGTGATGACATTAAACCTCAACATGGCAATAGCCTCAACATCTGCACCGTAATACTCGTGAGAAGAGTTTGTCTGTTCACCACGGGAACCGTCTCTCCAATCCGGGGAAAATACTTTGACCAAATGTTTGTCATGCCTTGCGAAACGTTTTCCATTTATGAAGATTTGTACTTCAGTCAACGACTTGGACTGGTTCCGTTTTGCATTTCTCAGTTCGTCAGAGTTGAATATTAGTGCACGTGTTTAGCATTCCTGAGACTAGCGCTCGTGGGAAATTCAACAGCCACCTGACACAACCACAAGGAGGACTTTGAACTGGTTTTGGTGTGGTAGGAATAAAGCTAATCGTGGACCTTTATTTTTCATAAACCCATTTCTTTATAACTGAGTAAAATGGTGGGAACTAGCGGTAAACTAGTGTGAGCTGCGTCGGTGTTTCTAAAGAAACAGTTATGTAAAAAGATAAATTTAACACCGTAAAAAAGTATGTGGAAAAACTTACTGACGTTTCGGATGTTAATCCTTCGTCGGAAGGAGCACGTTTTTCTTTTTATTGTTTTAAACTTTTTTACACTTTCGTTATAAGCCTTTGTGTGACTGTTTTTTGTTTTTTTTAAACAGTCTTTGAGACGCTTTGTTAACAATACAAAAACAGGGCGTGGTCAGCATTAGAGTGCTAAACAACAACACGACTTTGGCAGCCGTTTTTTGTATTCGTTACATGATGTGAAATTCGACGTAAGTCTACTGATTAGCTTCTTAAGTTCTTTTCAATATATTGCTCCTCTTATTTCCATTTGACTATTACATTTTCTTTTGAACCCTCAATATCGAGTAAACAATGCAATTGCAAAGGAAGCAACTTTGATTTCAGTATTGACAGCATCAAAAAGAGCTTGGACCAGACGTGGTCAGACATGTTTGCAATGCAGGTATGTGTGGTTTCCGCCATACTTTACTGTTCTTCATACACAAGTAGTATACCCTTGATCTTTATGACCATGTCATAACCCATTTTTCACTAATGTAAAATGGCGACGCGCGAAAGAATGTGCCTTTAGYAAATCATCTCGCGTGCGCAGTGATCTAGATGAAGCCAAAATTCTGTTGGATGCCTTACTTGTAAAATTATGAAAAACTGACTGCTTTTGATAGATGAGCGTCTTTCAACCAAATTAAAAACAAAAAGATATCGCTTTTCTGGGGTATTACACGACAACGTGACAACAGACAAAAACCTGACAATAATCACTTGACTTAGTTCATTATCAGCCTCAGGGCTCCAGAGAACGCAGGAACCACAGAGCGACGAGCATCAGCAGTTAGGAAGCAAAACGTGTACTATGGACAACTACTTCACGCGATTCTTGGTAAGTCTGGAGAATGCTTAATTATAATGAGCTGTAGATTTATAATAGATTTTACGACTTTATCCAATGCAAAATCGCTGGCGAAAAGATCGCGCCTGAGCAGTGATTATTCAGTAGAATGATAATGGATGAATTTGTGGCTTCGTTGAATTACTTAGCTGTCTTGTTAGCTGCAGGAAAGAACCAAGGAAAAACGTAACCTTTTTTGCACAGATTACTTATTAAAATCTCAAAGTCTTTTCCTTGAGTTAAAKGGATATTGGTTGGAAGCAAATCGTTTCCTGATTGAAACATGGTGGGCTGAAATGCTTCCCTCGATTACACGAGAGGGGAAAACCATTTTATATGAAGTGTAGTGCTAATATAATGCGTCTGCAAAACGCAGGGTTTTCTTCAATCACCTCGGGGTCGTATTAGTAAAATGCGATGTTTTTTTATGATTACTACTTGATTCTTGATGTAATTTTCCCGTGACGAATGTTCATTAGCCTCATCAACTACTTATCAACCTTGAATCGATCAGGATCCATTTTCTMATCATAAAAAGTCTGCCTACKATGGTGATAATGTCTGCCTATGACCATTCTCACCAAATACATCGATTTTACTCTTAAAAACGCATTACGAATTGAAATAACATATGTGTTAGGGTCAACACAAACAGATATTTTGATTATTCTGCACTAATGTCCATAGTGTCATCTGATTGGCTAGTTTTGATGCTATATCTCTGATAGAAGTAGATACACGACCAAGCTTTTGCGTCAGTAGATCGCACCAAGTAGAGTAAGATCTTGGGTTTTTCTTCCCCGCTGTTAACAAATTGCTCTAAGCAAGCTGATCATATGGCTCCGTGTGCGGTTCTACTTCAGGAAATAGTTCCATYGAAAGCGATGGCTTACTGAATTTGGAAACATATCATAACGTGCTCTTGGCATTTTATCATGACTCTATYTTATTAGGATTAAATAACAAATTAAAGCTAACTTCATAATTGACCCACAGATTTCTGGTGTTTTCTGGTTCATGTAATTAGACTACTGTGCTCATTCCTGTCGAAAATTAACCTCTCCTCATGTCGTCACATCGTGCAATTATTTGTATAATGGTGRCTGTGAATTGCCTGGATCTATTTAYATGTGATGGTGTTAAAAAGGTGCTACCGGCCCCTTATTAAAACATTTTGTTTGGTACTGTTTACACAGAGCAARCAARGTTTTTCWAATCTTTCACGTWAAGTGGCTGTCACAAAATAGACATGACGTTGCATGAGTCTAAAGATGGCAGTGATTAATGTAGCAAACTAGTTATTAAATTCATCGGCAGATTTCAAATAGCATTTTAAGTTGTCAGCTAGTTTTTTTTTAGATAATCAAATCACATTCCATGCATAGCAGGATGGAGTTATACGTCTTTTACGTTTTTTTCGAAGATATTTGTGTCAATATATGCCTCGACTTCCGGCGTTGATTGATCATGAAAGTCAACGTTTATTACTTCTGAATAAAGGGAATGTTTTTCATTTTTATAAGTTATATTTAAATGTTACTTAACACATGAAATAGTTAGTAGACCTCCAGTAGCATACAATATTATGATTTTTTTTCCCTTGGTTTCAACTGGAATACTAAATACTACAGTGTAGAATAAATTGAAGACTATACATTATTTACAATATGTACAAAAAGATAAATTGTTTTCGACTACGAAGKCATCATCAGTGTTTCACGAGTTAAGAGCAGCGAGTAAAGTGATCGAGTTTTYYTTAAGAGCGTGATTTKTTCTGACRTCTGACATGGACCTTTYCATTACAATACACGGGCGGCCATCTTGATAACCTTATCAGCTTTGTTATCAAAGCAAAACACTAAAAGAGATTTCTAAGCTTTTCTAAAGTCCTTACAGAGTATCCGGGATAAACTTGGTTTAGTAATGGAGCTACAGACACCTTGGTGGGTTTGGGTGGCATTTAATAACGTTTGCATTAGCCTGGGGCMGTTTTTGCGGTGATCTCAGGGACCACTGTAAAAACAACAATAGTGGCTCTCTTGACACGATTTCCTTTGCTGAAGACGGTGGTTAAAGGGGGGAGGGGTCAGGAAGATACTGAGGGGTGAGGGGAGGGTGATATGGAAATACCTTCAAAACACGAACATATTTCGGGTTTAGAATGTGGGAACACACTGAAGAAAGGGATTACAGTACCGAGCTTCTAAATTTACAGCTGTCATACTGAAAAAACTAATATATATTTGCATCTCTTGTAGTTGATCGTATCAATATTCAGTACTGCTATCGGAGCTGAACATAATGGTAAGGACAATAAATAACGAATCTTCTCACACTATACGACAATAATCTACATTAAACTGTTATTTTTTCCTAGAAGTCGATCCAGAGTGTGACTACATTTTGCAGCAGCTGTCACGCTTTCCACCGAGTAACGCAATTGTAACGCGGTGTTGCGATGGTATGGGAGTGCGTTACGAATGTATCAATGGCCACAGAATGCTTACTGGCGATGGAGAAAGGATTTGTAATAACAGTGAGCTGATTGGTCAAGAACCTAAATGTGTTTTTCCTAAAGGTAAGTAATAGCCTGCGCAGCCAGGCGTTCCTAGCCACTCCGAGAGAGTTTGGGCCGAAGAATGGGTTTCTTCGGCCCAAACCCTCTCGGAGTGGCTAGGAACGCCTGGATACGCCGGCTAGTAAGTAACTACTCTACCCACCCACCCATCCCCCATGCCATCCCCCACGCCATCCCCCAACCCCATGAAGCATTGCGTTGTATTGAGGTATAAGTTTTTCCAGATCAAAAAACCGTTTTTATTCTATTTTTTTATTATTATTATTTTCTCAAATTGTGTTTAAATACAATTATGTGAAGGTATGCATACAAAGATGTTTTACGTTATGACAGAAAATCTAATAGGACTAATAGCAAAGAGACTGGAACATACAGAAACCTTGGATTAATATAGATTTAATTGAAAGACTGCATGACTTTTGACTTCTCTATAGTGTGGTTTTAGTACATCGCAGATTATTAGATTTGTCGCGACGTTGGTAGATTGGTTTTAATCAAAACTATTCAATTATAACTGTACCGAAACATTCCATGTTAATCTAATTTAGATGATATAAGATCAAACGGAAACTTTTTAATATATTTTCGGTAGTTTTAGATCATAATTATCTCGCCCAATTGGCGACTATTCAATTATTACAGGCCTAACATCACGTATTCATCTACAATCAAATCCCTGAAGGGTGCGTCACAAGAAAATTTCGGAATCTATTGGAAAACATGGTGCATTGTGGTCTAGCCTCATTACAAMCAACACTTCACATTTGGGAGCAAAAAGGGCCGACCCCCCTCCCCCGTCCCCAGAGCAGGGAAAGTGAGGAATCTGGAAGAGATAACAGTATAGGATTCCATTCCAACTCACAGTAAATTCGTTACCTCTTTGTTAGTTACATCCTGTGGTAACCCTGGACCTATTCCCTATGGATATTACGTTGGTTTTGACTTCAGTGTATCAAGCCACGTCAAGTACCATTGCCACAAAGGCTTTAGAATACATGGACACTYRCATAGAAAATGCATGGACAACGGACTATGGACTGAGTCACCAAGGTGTATATGTAAGTATTGTAAGAAACGAATATTTTCTCACTATTAGTTTTAACTGATAATTTTTTCKTCACAGTTGAGGATGACTTGGAGKTTGATCTGGCAAAGGCCACTAACATCATAAGCAATAATCTCCTTCATGACCTTCATGTTCCTCAKTGCRCAGACTCGGAGAATCCCGACTGCCAACCGATTTCTCGACGAAGAAGAGCCATCGACGTTGATCACGGTGGAGGCTTAGATATAGTATTTATGTTTGATGGRTCAAACTCCATCAAGAAACAAGAATTTAGAATGGGTCTACGTTTTGCGCAAGAACTCTTACGTATTCTTGACGGAACCGTTCGTCGTGGAGGCTTAAAAGTAGCCGCCATGTCCTTTGCTGACAACATGAGAATAAACTTTGACTTCACATCATCATCGGTTCGGGTGATGAGGAAGATATGGTCAATCAAAAAGCCTAACGGATGTGGGAGCAATCTTGGCCGCACCATGTTCYTACTSCGCAAGCGCATCTCACCTAAACTACGTCGAGATAGCAAGCGAGCTGTATTTATAATCACCAATGGCAAGCTAATCCTAGGATCGAGCCATAAGCGTGCGTCACGTCTGTTACAGGCTGAAAACCGGTTTTCCCTGTTTGTGATTGGGATTGGAAAGAATCCAAATAAGGCAATGCTGACGACACTCGTATCGCAACCKGTCAAGGAGCATTACATTGCATTGAGGGCCTACAATGATGTCTTCAGCTCTGTGACAAAAGCGGTTTCGTCTGAAAAAAGTGAGTAGATTTATATAATTGCTCTTTGGTTACAGTTGTTTTTGATGGTGGAAGATGCAGTTGTTGTAGGTCAGGAGGGGGGAGGGTGCTCGCAGCTATCCAGAAGGGTTCCGTCATAGATGAGACAGACACAAAAGTTAGGAGTTAATAAGGAGGAGTTAATAAAGGAACTAATATTTTTTCTAGATCAGCTCAAGTGTGGTATCAGCACCACWAAGCTCAAATCTCGCTCCATTCGAGGAAACAAGGCAGCTAGTGGAGTATGGCCGTGGCAGCTTGGTGTCTACTGGGATCGTAAGTACAGGGGGGTGCACACCTAAGCCTCASATGACTTTGTGTCTCRWTTTGWCWGTTGTTTCGATATCTTATTTTCTCMGTTACCAAGCTAMCATSTAACCGGTTTAACTTGTTTTCAGGGGGACGTTCACCAATATGTGGAGGAGCTTTGATCGGCGAACAGTGGGTCATCACAGCGGCTCACTGTTTCTTCTCGAACGGAGGTCGTAAAGCTATCGTGTGGCCACCGTGGAGGTAAGACCTCTGCAAACAACCGAACACAAATCGAGTATTACACGATTCTTTATCGATTTCAATTACTTTGCAGATATACAGTAACGGTCGGCGATCACGACATACGAGGCGAAGACAACATGAAGCAAATGGCACCCGTTGCAAAGRTTTATCTTCATAAAGACTTCAAGTACAAAACACATGAAAATGACATCGCTATCGTTAAACTTCAGTACAAATTCAAGTTAGGGAAGTATGTCAGGCCAGTTTGTCTTCCTGAACTCAACGCTAAAGGACGAAAATCCGTCGAGCTTGGAAAACATGGATTTGTTACGGAGTGGGACCGACCACAGGACGAAGGAATCCGAGCAATACGTCGGAAAAGTCGATCGCGAATCCTAGTTCACACTGCACTCGTAGTATCACCGACAAACCAGTGCAAAAATATGACTTCCAATCCCTTCAACGCGTCCACCATGTTTTGTGCTATGGATAAGAAGGCATACAAAAGAGACTGTCGGGGGGATGGTGGGAGTGCTTTTGTTACCGAGTCATATGATCATAAATCACGTGATTACAGGTGGTTAGTGGCTGGTGTCGTCAGCTGGGATGAAAAATGTGGTACAAAAGATCACCATCGGTACTTCACCCGTGTTATGCCGTACTCGAAATGGATTGACAAGATTGTTCAGTAATCAAATTTGAATGCTAAAACAGCATTTTTATACAGAACAAACCATTCGAGATGAAACCGTGCTTGTCAACTGACAAAATCATCTAGTGTAAATATCATTGACAAGATGGCGAYCGATACGAACTATTGCGCATGAGCAAACGTACGTAGAAAAACATTCCAACCCACATTGAATGTGATAACCAGTTAACATAAGTACAAAGACAACGCTAAAGGACATGCGCAAGCATGCAAATGCAACAGACAATTCTGCGCATGTGTAAAGTAATCATTTCAGTAAACACAGAACTTTTACCAGAAAAATTTTTTTAATCGTTTTATTCGCAACAATTACGAGTATAATTATTTCTCCCGTCTAAATTTTTCTGAAAGTGCATTTTTCTGTCCCCCTATTTTGGAGTCCAAAAATGTTTGACACTTTTTACTTAAACCCGTGAGATTACAAATTAAAATTCATATTTTGTGAAAAATTGTTAATTAATTGTTGCATGAATTACTGGATAGAAAGGAATTTAATCTTTTTCTCAAAACTACTTATGTTTGTGTTGAAAGAAATATCTTCCGAGTTCTCCACCACGCAAAGCCTTCAACTATTCCAAATAGTTACTAAAACCATATTTTTCCTTGTATTTTATCAAATGAAACCAATTTAACACTGTAATTTAGTGCAATGTGCTGTAATTTTAAAATGTTTGGCATATTGTGGACATTTGTGGTGGTGATGACCAGGGTAGRCAGACGTACAATTGTATCGGTCCCAGCTATTTGGTATCACTGACTTATCCTATGACATTATCCCTTCACCTTCAAGTCCAACAGTTCACTGATTTCAACGCGAGGTACATCAAAAGGGCATTTCTTCCACTTTTTTGCTTTTATCTTCAACACACGGGCTCCCTTTCTGATCTCCAAGAGAAAGGATTCAACTTTTAGACATGGCATTTCAAGCCCTGCAAGAAATGATAATATTATTAGAATGTGTCTCTTTGAAACAAACTGTTTCTTCACCATTCCTTGAATACATTTTGTATGAGACAACAGTTTTATCTGGGAGCGAAAAACCTATCCTTTAAGGGTTAGATTTTCGTTATCTTCCAGACGATGAAACATGTGCTCTGTGTACTTCTAGTTATGGTTTTTAAAAACAGCAATCCCCACAGATTAACCCCTTGCAATTACATACAACCRCAACTCCCCACAGTACCCCTGTAAGTATTACCTCTCATATTGACAGTACATCCCCAGTGTTCGCCACATTTTTTACATTTGATTTGTTGTGGCATTGATACATCGTGGAATGACTGGACTTTGGACAGTGGAATGTTAATCTTATCGATCTTTTCATYAAAGTCATCTGGTATCACTACGTGGAAGGAGCTTTTAACTCGTCTCAAGTCGTGYGCCTGACATGCAACAACTTGGCAGTGACGGCACTTGAACGTTACATCATTAGGGTCGTACTGAGACTTGAGACATTCACGAAGTCTTTCTTTTAAAGTTCTTTCCTTGGCAGCTTCTTTTTGGTAATCCTCAATCTACGAATACAATGAAAAAAAAAACTGTTTCTTTCAATCATTAACTGTTCTTTGTGTCCTTCTAATTATGAAGACACCTATATTACGGACCCTCTATATTACGGACACCTCCATATTACGGACACCTCTATATTATGGACGCCTCTTTAAAACGGGCATCTCTATATTATAGACACCTCTTTAAAACGGACATCTCTATGATGGACACCCCTTTTAAAACGGGCATCTCTATATTCTACAGAGACCTCTATATCACGGACACGAGTGTATTACGAACAACTATACACTATGGAAATCTTTCTTTTAAGAACAGATCTATATTATTAACACTACAACGCTTTTTAGCTTTTTATTTGCAGACATTAAGGTTGTTTTATCTGTGTACCTTCTCTTTATAAGCGTTGGGATCCATTTTCTGGACTTGCGCCAGCGCTTCTGCCATAAGACATTCACGATATCTATTCAAATGTTCCTTCTCTAATCCACCTGAGTCTGCRCCAATCACAGAGCAGTATTGACCTCCTTCAAGCGTCCTAATCCTTCCACGTGATTGGACACTAGAGATTTCATTTCCAATCATATCGTAACGAATGACGTAATTACAATCATCTATATCCAGTCCTTCCTCGGCCACTGTTGTTGCAATGATGAGGTTGCATTCACGRCCATGTTTGAACTTGGAAATGACTTCTTCTTGATCATTCTGTGTCATGCTGGCGCCTGAAATAAATAAATAAATTACACGTGAAATGTGCTTGTACTTCATTGCGCTTACAATACTAGCCTTATAAAAGATAAACAGATCTTATTGGTGGGAACAAGCGGTAAACTAGTGTGAGCTGCGTCGGTGTTTCTAAAGAAACAGTTGCGTAAAAAGATAAATTTAACAACGTAAAAAAAGTAGATGAAACAACTTACTGACGTTTTAGACGTTAATCCTAAGAGACTAAGCTAAGTGTGAGTTTATATAATGAGAGAAGCAAAGAAAGTTGGCCAACAGATCTTGTTAACCAACAGACTTAGTACCTTCCCTGTCGTTGCTCCCAACAAGACGCAATGGCCTGAGCATCTTCTTCAGTTTGTCATTCTCCTTTATCCAGCTTTCCAAAGCAACTGTTGTCTCTCTAGTCTTGCTAAACAGGATTCCTTTGGCGCCGTTGTTACCAGAATTTAATTCCAGAAGTATTTCTTGTATTTTTACTAGTTTGGGGTTCAGAGGTTCGCCATATTTGTTCAAGGCTACGTCCAGAGCATCGCAAGAGTTCATGTAGAGCTTCTTCAGTTTTCTGTCTACGTCGGTAAATTTTTCTTCTTTCAGGCGATCAAAGTACTTCTTTAGTCGTGCTTTTGCGTCTTTCATACGTGTTGCTTCGTTGATTGACAGCGCRATGTTGTATTCACGTAGCTGCTCTGCGTACGTAACTACGTAACGATTACCTGCTATTACGCTGTTGTCGTACAGGGTCTCGCACCACTGGCGGTAACGCTGACTTTCTCTCCCTGAAAAAATTGAAAAGAAATAAATTATAACCTACGACAAAGATAAAGGTGTGGTGTACCACTCCCTCCCCCCTCATCCACCTTCTAGACCCACCCATCGAAGCAAACTCCACAGTTACGATTATATACCTGTCGGGGGGAGGTCTGCTTGGACGGACGAGTTGTCAACATACGCTTCAATATTCTCCATGACTTGGTTAATAATATAGTTAAAAATGTCATCATTTCTGTTTTGATAGACGGGGTGGACAGTCCTTTTAGGGGTACTTGTATGTATACTGAGTTCGTCCTGGTGCTCTTTAACCGTTGAGATAGCTTTAGTGTCTAGATTAGCGCACARATATAGGATATGGTTCTGTGCTTCGCCAAGATTTCTTGCTTTTCCAACTCCTAAAGAGGCTGTCATGCCAATAACCTGATTAAAGAGAAGAATTTCATTGGTTATCGAGCTCATGATAAAATGCATACCAAGGAAGTCAAGTTTGCAGCGAAACAAAAGAATTTCCCTGAAAAATGAAAGCCTTGTTTCCCATTAAAATCTCCCCGTTAAAACCTATGGACCCTGTAACTTTTCTAAGGAAAAMAATATATAAAAGAAGGTGTAAAAGATGACAACATGAAGTTTCGTTTTGCATTATCCTCAGCTGTCTTGCGTTTTAGGACCACGCTCCAGTCACACAGAAACCCCAATACTAACGTACCTGTGGTAACCTATCAGCAAGGCCAGGCTGTAGAGCCAGTGTCATGTAAAACTCCATAGTTTTATTGTAAGGATGTTCTCCATGTGTATGATGACATTCATCAAAGATCAACATACTGATCTCATGTAAACTAAGACGTTTCTCRCGCAGCGCGTTCACAAGAATCTGTGCAGTAAGGACGACTACATCGTTGGTTTTGACTTTCTGTTCAAGAGGATCGCCGGTAGTATGRGCGCTTGACATCTCTGTTATCTTGTATTTGTCGTTTAGGTACAGTTGAAATCGTTCTCGTTGCTGGAGGACAAGGTTCACTGTACTGACAAGAAATAATACTTTGCCTTTTCCTAAGAAAATCAGAAAAAAAGGAATTGTCGGTTTGCACGTTACACACAAACACAAGTCGGAAAAAGTCGTGATTTATCATAAATAAGCAATTGACGAAAGTCAAAACTTTAAGTTAAAAAAGGAAGCTCAAATGCGAGCAAGTCAAATAAATAGGGAAATGAGAGTAGAGGGAAGAAAAGAAGAGGAAAAAAGAGCTACATTTTCATTACATACCATCCTTTGAGTCTAAGTGATTTCTTGCAATCTTCAGCGCAACGTAAGTTTTACCACTATTGGTTGGTGCGCAGATAATGGTGTTGAGTCCATCAATGGCTGGCTCGGCTAATTCATTTTGATAATTCCTCAGATTAAGATCAATGGCTTGCTGACCCTTACCATTGTCCAGATACACTACACAACACAAAGTATTAGTAGATGTATAGGTGATTCAAATATGGACTCATTACTCACCTTCAGGGATCTTGAATTCAGGAAGACTTATCGTGTTCCATTCAGTTCCTTCACAAATAATCATAACATCGATTAAGATAAATTCGACATGACAACTTCATTTATAAGTGATTTGACTTTATTGTTACATCAATTATGTCATTCATCAACTTTAATTGTATACCTTCTATCTGCAAAGAGTGCTCTCTGTAAACTTGACCAGAYTCAAGGTCTGCAAAATGATACAGTTGTAAAAATACAGGCAACACAACTATGAATGACGTTTCGGACGTCGGTTCTAGTCTCCTCCGCAGYCACTCTTCCTTTGAAGAGACGTKGGAARGCTAAGAAAGAGATATGTCTTGGGGGAAGGGAGGGTGGGGAATWCAATGGACAATCATTGGAATCAAATGAAGAACAAACGAAGGACCTGATTCCGATATTCTCCAATGTCTACTACCAACCTTCCAGCCTTTTCCTGGCGTTCTCATATACATCTTTAAGGAAGTTTACTTGAAAATTTAACTCTTTGTCAGACAAAGCATCTTCCATGAGATATGACGYCAAGACTTCTCGWAGATGACGGTGCAAATCTTTCGCTTGGTACATGTCCCAGAATTCACCTGCCGCATCGACTTTGGACAGACGGAATATAATCTGGACTGACGTCTTTTCTGGATCTTCATGGGCAGTACATAGAAAGGTTGCACCCTGGGGGAGGTACTACAAGAATAAACAATGATGTGTTTAGCGTCATGGCCAATTCTCCTATCTGGTCATTATACAGATTTGTCAATTTTGATTTCTAACACGTTTCCTGGCATTACTGGCATAGCAAAGACCCTCCCCTCCCCTGCTAGGATATTATGTTTACCTTCGCAAAGCGCTTCCTCAATGTTCTACATTCGTCAGATTTCTGCGTCTGGAATTTTTTTGCTATGACCTCTTCTAGATCATTGCAGATCTGCTTGTTGCCCTCGTTGATGATTCGCAAAGTGACTCTCACATCTTAAAAAAATCAATCAATCAACACATCTTAAAAAAATCAATCAATCAATCAATAATTCAATCAATCAATCAATCAATCAATCAATCAATCAATCAATCAATCAAATCAATCAATCAATCAAACAATCAATCAAACAATCAATCAATCAATCAAACAATCAATCAATCAATCAATCAAAATTTAAAAAATGAAATGCAATCGTGCGCTCACCAATGGCGGGGCCTGCTACGCAAAGAAATTGTGTATTGTTCGACGACTGTTCTACGTTTTGCTGCACTGAAAACAAAAACGTTTTTAAAACGAGATAAAAGATAAAATATTAAGAATAACAACTAAATACCTTGATAATGTGGATCAAGAATCATTGCAAGATTGTCGTATCCTGTTTCGCGTAAAGCTCGTACAAAGATCGGAAAGGCTTCGTCACCACGTTTTAAAAGTCTATCGAATAACGTCTGCGTAGCTCTATTGTCCCCATGTTGCCTTGAATCGCACTCGATCTGTTCTTTATCTGGACCAGTAAGACATGACAAGTGGGCAAACAGATCTAAAGGGCGCAAATTCTCTACGAAATGTTGCTGTCGTTCTTGGAGTAGATTCTTCATAGARCCCATCTTAAAACCTCTTGGATAAAGCTTGTTAGTACTGTCCAAGAGGTTAATGAGAGGAGCTCGAAGACGTGTTAAGTTATATGCCGGTACTACATTACGTCATGATGTTTTGGCAGGGGCGTTGATCTGGGGGTTTTCCCTGACAATATTGCGAAAATAAAAGGTAATGTAAAACCCCACCGGTCATAGGAACTCAAAAAGCAAGAAGCATAGCGGACTACATAGAACTTCCGGTCTATTTGAAATCAATATTTGACCTGTGACTTGAAATTTCAGCGGAAGACAGTCAAATGGCTTTCCCCTGCTAAACTATGTGCGGGATTTCCCCTTATCAATCATTAATTCGACTTGGACTTTCAAATTTCCGTTTCTGGGRTTCCTTCAAGAAAGCATAAGAACACACCTTTTATACGCTATACTAATATAACATGGAAGAATAAAAGCAAAATATTTTCAAATGTGTGGTAAGAAATTTATCGGAAAATTGGGAAGCATTCCTGGAAAGTCAGTCATAACTTTTATCACTCCGGAAGCCAAAGCACTTGGAAATGTGGGCATGAATTAAATAATAATAATTTTTGAAATACGGGGGTTATTGTCGATAATGGCTGGATAATTTTTGTATTAGTGGATTAGTGGAAATATGCAGGCGAATTAACAAAAAAAAATTAATGTGAAAAAAGGGTTTTTTTCGATAACAGGGTAAATCAACACATCCAATATATTTACAATTAGTCCACCATTTTGGAAATTACCCATAATGCATATGCAAATCACAGCTAATTTAATTTCTACTTAGTACCAGTATGAACAAGCAATCCTAAGTTTAGCGATTTAACTACAATAGTTTTCGGGAATGAATCTTGGAAAAGATTTTCCAATAGCATATAGATCCGCGGAATTTTAAGCAAAGTTTTTGCGTGTGTAATTAAACTATTCCTTTAATCAGACGCACCTCACATTATGTTTTTGATGAATATCATTATCATAACTCCTAGGAAGGGAGTTTTTGACTTCACTAATCGTCCCTAGGTAAGGAATTAAAAACAATGCGCAAAATATCAATTTCCTTTGGTAAGTTCGTAGTCCCCTCCCCCCTGGGGCTTAACATGACTTCATTTTAAACAATGTTATCCTCTTTAATTTTGCCTAATAAGGTGTTTTGTTAACCAATTGTGTCTGTCAATAAACTCTTAACTCATACGAGTCTTTTAGGCTTAACATAACAAGTGGATAATGAATCCTTTACGAAATTAGACACAATAAAACAATTAGACACAATAAAATTTAAAGATTTATTTTCATTCCTTCTTTTTCACAATAAATGAATTTTATGAACATTTTGAATTGTTCTGCATTCCGGCTTTAGGGATATTTCTGACAATTTCACGTTCGAGAGTCAATATTACTTTGAATAGTCAAACTAAACTGAAGGTGTCAAAAGTAATCGTTGGTAATATTCAGATCGAGAGTGTCATGCTAATAAAAAAAAGATTTACTTCGCGACTCCTCGCTGATCACATACATCTTCATCTTTTTGCGTATACATTTTTCCTAGTCCCCGCTCCATAGTACGAAACACATTACAAAAAGTTCGCTATTCTGCTATATATTTTCTGGGGAAAGTGTCATTCAGAATCTGCCAGAAGACGTTCCTGCGCAGCGTTCAGCTCTTCCACAGTTTCAGCATTGGTTACAATGTAAGGATAGTCCTTCCACTGTTTGTACAATACTGGTGTTTGATCGTTGACTTGTACCTGCAAACTCTTGATTTTTATGCAAGGCCAGTTAGTGCCTTGGATGGTTATCATTACTCCCCAGTCTGCCTTACATCCCTTGCAAAATATCTAGAAAAAGACCAAAGTACGGTTAACAGGAGGATATATCAGACATTCCAATAACAAAATCGTTCACTATTCAAGTTTTTTTGGTATAAGGTTGGTGTTTACTGGAAACCATAATTAATAGAGGGGACAATCCTTGGGCGTGGCTTCAATGAAATTTCAGGCGTAAAAGGGCCAAAAACACTACTTTTAAACCCATATTTAAAGGTCCCGTCCTACAAGAGAGAGCTGCAACGTACCTTGTGGTTAAAAGCAATCCCATTCACTTCACGTGGATTTTTATGTGGCTCAATAATCATGTTTTCGTAAATGTTCTTGCTTATAACAACACGGTTTACCAATTTGAATGTCATCAGCTCGTATGAGCGACAGATCAACTGACCGCATCGCCGGCAAAGGCAGTTCACTCTTTGGGATTGGTCGACAGATTTCTTAACATTTTGGTCAATTTTAAATTTTAAGTCAGTTATTGCTTTAGCTTGGATGTCCTTTATCTGAAAAAGAAGAAAACTGGACTTAGTCAAGCAGAAGACTATATAACTATCAGTTAATTAACAAGTGAATGGATGTGAATTGGATGGATGGGTGAATGAATGAAAACGTGAATTGTGAATGAAGGGAATGATAGATCTATAGTTGCATCAACCACACTGATGCATTTTCGCACCGTTTTTGAATTTCTGTCCCTTCAGGACAGAAAAAACGCCAGGAAAACCCATCAGATTGTAAGAAAAGACATAAAAGAATCGGAAAGAGCAAACAGAGCGTCCTGAATGAGATGACATCTTGGAAGTATAAGATACATAATCATTAATGTCAGAGTTTTCTCTCACCTTCTCCATGAACATTTCTGTTTCCATTTTCTGCACTTGCGTGACAGCGTTATTCATTAGCGTCTCTTTGAATTGGTTCTTTAACTCGTGTACTGCACCACGTGATATCGTATCACTTAGATATACATATGTACCTTCTTTTGCCCTAATACGTCCACGTGCTTGTACTCTTGAAATCTCATTGGTTTTGACGTCATAACGAATGACGTATTTACAATCAGAAATGTCCAGTCCCTCCTCGGCCACAGACGTTGCTATGATGACATTGACGTCACCAGTCTTGAATTTCTTAATTACCGATTCTTGCTCTGATTGTGTTAAACCAACTAAGAAGGAATTAAGAAGCAAATAGACTTTATTTTAACAAGAAATTATTTACTGAATGTAAGAATAACTTTCACTCACGTTGCCCTCCGCCACTTCCAAGCAATACATCAGGTCTAAGTTTGCCTTTGAGTTTCTCTGCTTCGCTGATCCACCTTCTTAGTGCAACTGCATACGCTTTCGTACGGCAAAATACAATCCCTTTTGATTGATTCCCCTCATCACCATGGAAATCAGCTATTAAACTCTCTAGGGCCAACAACAGTGGATTGCTATGCTTTTCGCTGCTTTCTTTGATCCGTTCTTTAGTTACCTTATAAACTTCATCCAGCCATGAGCATATTTCACTAAACTGTGTTTGTTCATGCTTGCTAAAGCACTTTTCAAGATACTCGAATCCATCTTCAATTCTCGTGAAGTTATTGATGAGCAAAGCTTCGTGATAACTAAATAAAAACAATTGCAATCAGAAGAACAAGTCTGACAAAACAAACAAATTATAAGTGATTCCTTAATATCGGAGTCTGTCAATTGTTGACGTAGGGGGTGGTTTTGTGGTGCTTGATGGTTTACCTTCTCAACTGCTCTGAGCATGCGTATTTCTCCTTATTTTGCGTAACACTTGCTTCTTGCTCGAGAAGTTCAATCCATTGACGGTAGCCTTCACGTTTGCGGTCTGCGATGGGAATGTCAATTTTGTATTGTTTTTTGAGAAATTTCTCAATGTCCTCCATTGCCTGATAAAAAAGGAACGTTATCGCCATTATTTTCAATGTAATGATGCCAAAAATACTGATAAATATGATTGTATCATCATAAAAATGATAGGAAAATAATAATCGGATGAAAAAATGAATGAACGATTATTCCCGATAACAATTATGATATCGACGATGATTATACTGATAAATGCTATATTTACCTTGTTTACTTCCCTTTCAAACACATTAGGCTCGTCATTATTCACGGTTAACACCTTCATGTCAGGTACGTCACCAGTCACGTGACTTWCCAGGTCCTCCATATTGTCACGCACGGTACTGATGCAAGACGCATCCAAGTTTGCACAGATTTCTAAGACATGTTCTACAGCCCTTGGTAAAGCAGTGGTTTGACCAACACCTAGTGATGCAGTCAGACCAACAACCTGTAGATAAATGAAGTGCTTGCGTTACACAATCATTGCGTGACACTGCTGTGTAGTTTCTATCACAGAGTAATACAAGTGSCTTACACACCTGTGGTATAGTTTCTTTATTATCTCTTTTTACTGCAATGTAATTCATCATGATTTTGTTGTAGGGTTCTTCTTTTTGTGTGTGGTGACAYTCGTCGAACATAAGCAGAGAAATATCGCTGATTTTAACACTTTTATCCTCAAGGGCGTTAACCAGTATCTGTGCTGTAAGGACCACTACGTCATAATCGTTAAGTAAGCTATCCAACGATATKTTTTCTGAGTTATTGCCTGAAATGTCAGATATCTTGTACTCTGACAAGTACTCTTCAAAACGAGCGCGTTGTTGAAGAACAAGGTTCTGCTTGTTGACTGCGAAGACAACTTTTCTCTTTCTGTCTTCTTTGAAAAAAAAAAAGAAAAAAAATTAGAAATGAATACTTTACCATTATGACGTCATTGCCTTCTGACACCCGGTCCAAAGCTCACCTTTACTGGCGGAATCCCTGTGTGCATCAAGATGTYTTTTGGCTATCTCCATAGCAACAAACGTCTTTCCGCTATTGGTCGGTGCRCAAATGATAGTATTGTTATCCTCTAAGGCTGGTGCTGCCAGTTCTTTCTGGTACTCACGAAGACGTATCTCCCTGTGGTATTCACCGTCAAGATAYACTGATGGAGAAGATACATAGAAGCTTATAAAAATACAAATCTTTTAAGACGAGACGGGCAAAGGACATGGAATAATTTGATAGGTAAAAATTGAATATTTTTTAGTCATAAATTCCCCAGTAGTGATTTTTTTGTTTTTGTTTTTAGTGTAAACACCTTTTTGTTTCAGAGATTTTGTATAAATCTTACCTTTTCGAACTTTCACCTCCTCCTCTCGCGCACTATTCGTTTCTGCAGCCTCCAATAGTTCATCTGCGGTAACTAAAGAAATAGTATTTAAACAAATTTAAAAAAATTCAATATAACTTTAAGTGAACGCATCGAGGTGTRTGTAGTACCTTCTGTGGTTGGTTCATGAACGATATCAGTCGTAGTATCTGTAGGAAAACAGCAAAGACGAAATATTATGTTGTTCAACATCGCATCACTTTTCGTTTTACTTTTTGATTTGYCATAAATCTTACCTTTGTTAAGAATCTTTTTCATTTCTTTGTAATCGTTTTCTTGGAATAACAATTCTAGATCCATGTTGCTTAACAAATTTTCATCTTTTTTTGTCGCTTGTAAGGTTTTCTTGATATATTTACTAAGATCACAATCCTTGTGTACTTGCCATAGTCTGTCCAATGCACTTTCTTTGGTTATTCTAAATACAAACACGATGGAGTCTCCGATTGTCGTTTCATCTTTTTTGATGCCACTTTTCTCTCCAAGCTGCTTGGTATTGACAAAGTGTATACCTTTTGGCAAAACCTTTAAAACATGGGGAAAAAATCCCCTTTAATGAGTTATCAACATAAAGTATAAAGTATTGACCAAATAAAATATCAAAATAAAGTATGCACCACGAGCTGGAAAAGATTAAAGCAAAGAACAACAATTGAAATATGTTGTATGGCCTCCTTTACCTTAGTAAACTCCTTTCGTAAAAGTTTACAGTTCTCGGATTTACTAGACCTGAATTGCATTGCAATTTGCTCTTCCATGTCACTGTTTCTTTTCCGTATGTTTGCATCAAGAATCCTCACAATGATATGAACATCTACGATAGAAAAATGTACAGTTTCTCTACGTTTATGGAATTGTTGATCATGACTGAATTATGCCTGTTTATTGATTGTTAAAGGAGCCGCTCGCTTCAACGACAAAGATTGAAATGCGCARSGTGACTGAAGTTACAATCTTACCCACAGCCGTCCCGTCGATACAGACGAAGCTCGCATCTTCTGTGTCCTCGCTCGGTTCTTGACAGTCTGGAGAATATAGCARCACAATTAACTTCACACGGCGCGAGGCGCATTTTTTCTGACTTGATATCTAAAAAGTACTCTTGGCTAGCAAGTATTCTACTATTCTTACCCTCGCAATCAGGATCAAGTAACACAGCAATATGAACAAGATTACTCTTCAACAAGGCGCGTACAAGCATATTAAAACCATTTTCACAGGTCTCCAATTCTTCTACGAGCGTCCTGACCCCTTTTTCTTGAGTGTAGTTTTTCTCATTATAACCTATGCGATCTTTTTGCTCATCTGACAGACATGGAAGGTATTCAAACAATTCTATAGCGGTTATGCCGTTTTGTAAATGTTGAAGACGCTCTTGCAGCAACAGCCTTTGCTCTGCTCTCATTTTTAAATCCTGCCAAAGATAAAGATAGAAATACAGTTTTCATTAACACATTGTCCAGGAAGTCCAGGAAGCGAAAATATATGATCAAGTAGCGCTGACCTTCGAAAATCTTCGTTTAGTTTCAGGTAATCTTTCAAGTACTTTATCAACTGAAATCAAAATGAGTAAAAAGCGTTTTACAAAATCTGACGCTAAATGTTATACCAATATGACGTGCCAACCTTCAGTTCTGACAGTTTCCTTGACATCTTCACTTTCTTCTTTAACARTTTCAAGGACTTCAGCATGTCGAAGTTTATCCATTTCTTCCACTGAGGACAAAAAAAATAACATAGTTTCACAACAGCAGCAATAAAGATAGGCGGATGTACTCCTATTTCTGTAAAGAGTGACCTATTTTAATAAACTCGCGTAAAAAGGAGTAAAGAACTGAGAATTATAAAATGATGTTGCAGCTTACATTGATGGATAGCATCCAGAATTTCCTTTTCACTATCAAGTAATTCTTTAAGTARCGGTWWTAAAGCGTCTATTGGCTTCTTTACRTCTGTTCAGTAAAAACTTGAGATAAGCATTTCGTGACACGTGACAAATAACGCAATCCACACACACAAACCTTCTTCGACCTGATCAATCTCGTCTTGTGTTGCATTAAATTTTTTCAAAGCGCTACATGCCTTTGGCCACTCTGTGTTGTACAACGTATTGGGTATTTTTGCATCTGTAGCGTGGCCTATCAAATTATCCCGAATATCTTTCAAATCCTTGATTGCGTGACTTTCAAGACTTGGAGATGTCACGAAACCCAAAGATGAATTGTTCAAAACGTTGGTCAGAAGGGAAAAATCCCATTTGTTTGTATCGCCAGAATTGAAGTGTGTTTTTTGATCTTTGAATCTAATGAATTTTTTTAATAAATCAGGATCGAGGTTTGTCATTTCGATTGCATCGTTKTTTATATCTGTCCATGGCGCTGGTGGCGGTCTCCCTGTGTTGTTTYGATAAACAATAGGCCATCGAGTTTTGAAGAACTCCCTTAGTTTTTGATTGCCAACTCTAAACAGGAGGAGTGTCATGCGAAAGAAGTTGTCCCTTAAGATT